AGGCCAGTCTGAGCTCAGCCTTTTTTTCAGAGGGCCATGGGCACCCTACAAGGGTGGTAAGTAGGCGAGTGGCAGAGCTAAAAGGTCTCTGGCTGCCGAGGCGGGTGGCGCCGGAGCCGGCCGTTGCTGTTGTTTGGCTGAGTGGTGGACAGGGTCAAAGCCATTCCAAGGTCGACTTGAGAGGGCTTGGTTATGTGGGAGGGAGGGAGGGAGAAAGAAGGAACGGGCTGATGGCCGGGGTGATACCACTGGCAGAGGTGTGGAAGACTGGGAGAAGCTAGCTTGGAAGGTTAACTCTGATTTTGAACACCTTGTGTTTGAGAATCCTGACAAACCTGAGACCCCCTGAATTTTCTCTCAGGGATTCTGATTCTTAACAGCCTGATTGCAGAGGAGGAAAAATGGCTGGAGTTGAGCCAGACAGTTCTGGGCAAGGAGTGAGCATTCGCCTGTTTATTGAGGAGGCTGCTGCCTGGGCCACACTGCCTCCCCCAGCTGCCAGGTTCCTGCCCCGTTCAACCTGGTTTTCTGGCCATCCCTTTCCACCACCTGCGAGCTGCTCTTCACACTTCCATTTGCTTATACAGCCCAGAGCCGATTTCTGTTACAGCACCCCGGAGAAACATGAGTCAGGAATAATTTCTTTTTTTTTTTTTTTTTTGAGACAGAGTCTCACTCTGTTGCCCAGGCTGGAGTGCACTGGCACAATCTCGGCACACTGCAACCTCCACCTCCCGGGCTCAAGTCTGCCTCAACCTCCCGAGTAGCTGGGATTACAAGCCCCTGCCACCACGCCCGGCTAATACTTGTATTTTTAGTAGAGAGGGAGGTTCAGCATGTTGGCCAGGCTGGTCTCGAACTCCTGACCTCAGGTGATCCGCCCGCCTCGGCCTCCCAAAGTGCTGGGATTACAGGTGTGAGCCACTGTGCCCCGCCCGAATCAGGAATAATTCTGATGGCTAATGAAGACAGCTTCCGGGAGAGTAGGAGAAAGGGCACAGGATTCCAGGCAGCAGGCCCATCTAGGGCAAAGGTGAGGGTGTGGCTCAGGCTGCCTCCTTTGGGGAATGGCGAGTGTGTTCTGAGCTCAAGGTTCTTGGTAAGGGACAGAGAAGACTCAGGAAAGATCAGTTGAGCTGGAATGTGCAGGCTCTTGAATACCCTGCTCAGGAGCTGGAGGTGGGCTACCCTGCAGACTCCAGGCCATGAAGGCATGGGCTCTTGGGAAGCCCGGGAACATGTCAGGCTGGTCTTTCCATGCCCTTGTGTATCTGAGACCAACTGTCACTAAATGTTTCCCTTACACCCTGGACACACAGCTAGACTCTACTTCTCAGGTTCTCTTGAAATACAAGTCTTGGCCAAGAGTGTGGAGGGAAATGCTGTGTATCACTTTGAGGTTGAGGCCATCAAAGCCTCCCACAAGTGGCCCTTTCTCTCCCCATGTACTTATGATGTTGATGCTCAAGGCAGCTTGAGAACTACCTGCTGAAGGCAGGGTCTCTGTCACCAAAGGTCCTTGATTCAACAGTATGGAGCAGAGCTCTCATCTCAGCCAACTGGATTTTATCTGACCAACAGTCCAACATCTATTGGGTTGAGCCATGAGGTTTCAGGATTTATGTTATGGCTGCTAGCTTTTATTAATGCAGACCTGCAGACCTATGGGACACGGGGGAACTAACTGGGGTTTGGTGGGTTGTCACCAGAGGTTTATTTATTTATTTTTAAGACAGGGTGTCACTCTGTCACCTAGGCTGGAATGCAGTGGGTCAATCATGGCTCACGGCAGCCTCGATCTCTCAGGCTCAAGTAATCCTCCCAACTCAGCCTCCTGAGTAGCTGGAGCCACAGGCAAGTGCCACCACACCTGGCTAAGTTTTTAAAAAAATTTGTGTAGAGATGGGGTCTCACTATGCTACCCAGGCTGGTCTTGAACTCCTGGGCTCAAGACCTCCCAAAGTACAGTGATACAGGTGTGAGCTACCATGCCTAGCAGTCACCAGAGGTGTTTTTGTTTGTTTGTTTGTTTGTTTGTTTGAGTCTGGAGTGCAGTGGCCGGATCTCAGCTCACTGCAAGCTCCGCCTCCCGGGTTTACGCCATTCTGCTGCCTCAGCCTCCCGAGTAGCTGGGACTACAGGCGCCCTCGCCCGGCTAATTTTTTGTATTTTTTAGTAGAGACAGGGTTTCACCGTGTTAGCCAGGATGGTCTCAATCTCCTGACCTCGTGATCCGCCCGTCTCGGCCTCCCAAAGTGCTGGGATTACAAGCTTGAGCCACCGCGCCCGGCCACACCAGAGGTTTATACCCTGGTTTACCACTGTTGGTCCTCATCTCACTATTTTAAGCCAGAACAAATCAGATAAAAGAACTTTAATGCAGAATTTTGATGTTAATTAAACGCTAGCTTGTTGGAAACTCTGTTCACTGCTATCTCAGGAGGGGGTGAGCTGATATCCCCAGAAGCCTACCAAAATGCAGGCACTTTCTCAGGGGAGGCTTACTGGCACCCGAACAGGTAGAGGTCTCTGGAAATACTTTTGGAAGCTGAAGAACACTCTGATATGGAATGTAACATTTTTAGGGCAGAGGTGTATTTTTTTTTTTTTTTTGAGATGGAGTCTCGCTCTGCCAGGCTGGAGTACAGTGGTGCCATCTCAGTTCACTGCAACCTCCGTCTCCTGGGTTCAAGCGATT